CAAATTTCAAAATTTCCTACCAACTGAAAATGTTCAATGTGTCCTGCGCGTTCATATGACCTTATGCAGTTGCGAGCGCCGTTAAGCACTTACAAAAAAAAAACCAAAACAACAAACAAAACAAAACAAAACTTCCCATTTCCACCTTGGCCTTTAACGAGAAGTTTTTGCTCCTTCTATTTTCCCTTGCATCACAGTTTTCTCCAGCAAATTATCTTTTTCTTTCTTTGTTTTTCTGTTTCTTTCTCTCTTTCTTTCTTTTCTTTTGCTTTTGTTTTTGTTTGTCTTTATTTTTTTTGTTGCCCCCAAAATAACTGAAAGTTTTTGTTTTCTGATTAAGTTAATTAATAAGCAGTTCTTCATATCGGACTTTTTCAGGGCCTCATCATTCGGTCTCTTTGTGAGCGATCACACTCGCAGCACGTTTCTCTTGCATTTAATTCCGAATGCTTGTGACCTTTTTAAGTTCTCTTTATTTAGATTTATCTTCCATGCTTCACAGCTACACTTCACCTTTTTTGAAAGACGCATGTCTTCGAGTAGAGTAGCCTTATTTTTAGTGCTGTATTTTGCCTCCTTCCGACTGCTGTAAGAGTTGTTTGGCTATAATTTATTACAATTGTTATGCTTGTCATTTTCATAATCGTGTTTTGTTGTATTTTATTTATGTTACTTTTTTTTATGTACCAGCGCAAAGCCAGTGACATTTTAACAGGCTGTCTGATTATTCCAATGTTTATCTGTGTCTATTATGTTTTATAGTTGTCTTTTGATTTTTAAAAATGTAATTTATTAACATCTTGCTGCACACTTGAGTTTCCATCTGGCTCTTTGACTGAGATTATAGGAAAAAAAAGTTTTCTTTTTAAGGGACAGCATTTCGTTACTGGCGTCCGATGTGTATTATAGGTGTCACGGCGGGGTGGAATCAGACGCTCGTCGATTTCTGGGCATGTTGAGTTTTGGTATCATCTTATAACTTGTTCATTAAAATTTGTCTATCTTTCGAAGCTCCCCCCCCCCCTCCCGCTCCATATATCTGAAACAGAAGTCGAGATATTTTCGATCGAAGGAGGAAGGGGTAGCTTGATTCCAGTCGTACAATTAGCGAGAAAATGGCAGCTAAAGTTTGGTGACTTCCATAGCTTGAGAGCCCTACGAAACTGAAAATTGGCATTTTATGTGCCTTTAACCAACGTTTTTCAGTAACAAAATACTTGATGAAAATTGACATACCAGTGAAAAAAGGCCGATTTCTTTGATTTCAATTTTTCGACGAGCGCCTGATTTCACCACAATGCTTCATGGACCTGGCTCTTCGCCGTCGCACTCAAGAGACCTGAGTTTGATTCCCGCGTAGAGTTTTTTTTTTTTTTTTTATCTCCGTCTATCTGCTGCTCGTGACAGGCACGATCGAAACAACGCTGTCTCTTTTAAATAATTATGTAAATTGTGCCGTTGAAGGCATAAAACGTTTAGTTTCAACAGCAATAATTTTTACCGTGCGACGTTTACACGTTGTAGACTTTTTATTATTCCTATCATGATTTCTGTATAATAGAGTTAACAATTCGCGACCTCAGTATTACAAAGTTCTTTCTGACATTTTGGCTGTTTTGAGTTATTAAGACCATGAGGGCAGGAACCAAATATTATATACTATCTGCGCCATCAAAATCGTAAGATTATTCGGAGTCTTTATCAAGATATTCAAAGTACTGCACTCGAAAAAAACTTATATGAAACTCAAAATCTTTGACGTCAGATTTCTCAAAACTAGTACTGAGCAGATAGAACTTTGTAATTCTGAGGTAGCGACCTGGTGGGTCCCTGGTTCTACGGAATTTGGGAGACGATGCAGTATACAGAAGAAAATTTGACCCAGTATTTCTCCTCTTTAGCTCACGGAAGACGTGCATTCTGGTCATTCAACAACTCTTGAAGACTCATTGCGGGGGGCTCTCGTGGTC